GGGGGGGGGGGGGGGGAGGAGAGTTGATTGATCTTGGGGAGCAATATTAAGGGAGGAAAGAACATTCCAGGATGTGAGCAAGAAGGCGAGGAGATACTTTGGAATTACTAAAGGGTCCGTTCAAGTATTTACCGAAATTAAATTCTTCAAGCTGTATTCAATAGTTGTATGCCAACAACCGTGCACTGTATATTACATTATCGATGATTCTGAATTTTCCCTTCATAACGGACCCGACCCATTATTTCGATATTATTGCATATTTTCTCAACGCAGAGTGGGATATTATAAATTGTATCGATTAATAAAAATACTCCATTCAGGGTATAATTTGATGAGAAAGTTGATTAATTGTGGTGCGTAGTATCCTCCTGGATACACGGAGAGAAATGTTCAGTAAAAATTACGGATCTCACAATTCGCTTACTGATTACGGAATCGACTTAGAAAATTTAAGTGACCTTATCGTAATTTTTCACAGGAGATTCAGATAAAAAGTACGGAACGCAACGGAAAAATTCCGTGACAGTTCCGTAAAATTTCTTACAATCCCATTGAACTCCGGAATTACGGAAAAGATACGTAATTTTTATTGAATATTTCTCTCCGTGTGAAAAAAAATAATGCAATTTGCGATTACGTACATCGTCGCTCACCTGGGGGTCGTCAACGAGACTCGTGTGCAGAAGATCAGTTTGATCGAGTCCCGGTGGTGGTAGGAGGGCATCCGGACGTCGGACAGCGCCGTAAGAGTCCACACCCCTGCCGCCCCCGCCCCCACCACCGCCGGCGCTTCCACGACTTCCGTCGTAGGGGAAGGACGCGTGCATATTCGTCTGAAAAATAAAGGAACAGGGGATGAGAAACAATTGGTCATTCATCAATTTTTGTTTTTCTATTTCCAATTTGGCTATCGCGAATGCTACACGCGTGTGTTATTGTCCATAGAATAATAATTTCCCTTCATGATTGTGTTTTTTTTTTAATGACGTACGATTCGAGCGTTTCAAATCGATCGATCGACATCTCATCGAATAGCGACAAGTAACTCGGCGATTCTCGAAGCGTCATGCTGATGACTCTGAGGTATATTGGAGAGACCAATTTATTCTGTAAATGCGATTCCATTAAGATAAGACACGCGAGGTTTATATTAGGAAATTGGCGTATGTCTTGCGGGGGATTTAAAAATGACGGCAACGTGTGCTCGCAGGGGAAAAAATTTTTGGTAATTATTGTGGGCCCATATATGAAGAACAAAGATTGGTTTGTTGGGAATTAATCAGGTGTGGAGCGGTGGAACGAGACGAATCGACAAAAGCTTCTATTATTTTGCAAATACCGTCTCAGGAAAAAAGATTAAGGAACTGTATTTTTTTAGAACAATGATTTTTTGATATTGTTTGATGAATCGAGTGGGAATATTTGGGAATATTTGCTATATGAACTATCAATTTTTCCAAAGCAATAACTATCAGTGTGATTTTTTGACAGTTTTATTGTGTTTGAGCTGAGAATTTTTTGTTTGTCAAAATTTGGATTCGATTGGCATTTCATCGTTCTGATTTCTCAGTTGAGTTGCACGTGCCACTAAAAGTGTGAATGCAAAATGGAGTTCTATTTCCCATATTGAATGAATATTCATGACGAGAGGGGCCAGTGGGGCAAGTGGAACGTTTTTGATCCACTTTAATTCTTAATATCTTTGCTTATGAGCGGAGGTATTGGGATTTTTAGTCGATGATGTGCGTTCCACTTTGTGCCGCCAGAATAAAATGAAATAAAAATAAAATATTTGAATTTTTTCAAAGATTTTTGAAAACACAGGATTTCGGAAAAATTTTAAATGAGATTTTTTGTGGAGTATTTTGTAGATTACCAAAGAGATTTTCTAGGATTCCTCTGCACAGCAGGAAAGATCCGGCGAAATTTACTCTTACGGATATCCAAGTATCTTTTACAGTTTAATACAAACCACACTACAGATTCAATGATTTTCAATCATTAAAGTTGTCAATTAAATTACGTGAGAAATTTTGTTTACAAAATCATGAATATTCAGCGTCATACAAATTACATTTTGGACAGAATTATTATTTTTTTAACAGTTGTTCAATATTGAGATTCAAATTCAGACCTGCAAAGTTTAAATAATAAAATCATTGTAAAATGTCCGGAAACTTGGGATCAAATGGGGCTCAAATGAAACTCTGATGTTCGACTACAAAAGCATAAGCGCATTTCACTGGAAAAAAAATAGCGAAAGTAATTCGATATCCTTGATTCTTAACATCTTTGCTTATGAGCGAAAGTATTGGGATTTTGAGTCGATGGCATGTGTTCCAATTTGCCAAAAACGAAATAAAATGAAATAAAAATAAAATATTTGAACGTTTTTCAAAGATTTCTGCTATCACGGGAATTGGTAAAATTTTTTAATTAAATTTTTTGTGGATTACCAAAGAGACCTCTAAAAATTCTTGAACACAGAAGGAAAAAACTGGTGAAAATTACCCTTAACCCCTCACGTACGGGCTCGGTATGTCATACCGACCCATGCAAAAACGCACGGCTCTTTTCAAAATGGAATATTTCCGAAACTATGGCAGATAATACAATCGGAGTAATACCATTGGGAAGGTGAATACGGTAGCTTCAATTGTATATTTTATTTATAATTTTTCATTCACCAGAAAATATGGGATGCGAAGAGTATAGTAAACTGAGAGAAAAATCTGAAGTTCGATTTATAATAAGAAAATAATTGAGGCATTTTGGTGAACGATACGATTTTTTTTTTGTATGCGGCACATAACATTATAGTAACTTCACAAGCGTAATTTTTGCAAATCAAAATGCAGTTAAACTAACCAAAGTTCAAAAGTAACCACGACAAATCTATCGTGAGGAGAACTATAAAATAGTTGCAATGACTGCCTTCCATTGTAGTAATTACTTCTCCGGCCATAGTTACCGTAACTCATGAAAAATTGTTGAGGACTTTTTGACTATAATTCGATGGTGATGGAATATAGTCAGAAGAATTATTTTTTTCTCTCAGTGTACGTGAGGGGTTAAATTGCGAAAACGTGTAATGCGATAACCTTGCAGGAACTAGTGTAGAATGCCATCAGTTTACAAAAAAATTCCAACGATTCAGCATCAATTTTTTGGTGCAATACATAATGTTTCAAAATATCGTAATTTATTCTAGACTTCTGGTAAAGGGTACCCTGTAAAGCCAGTATACTACGGGATTACTGAAATTCACATCTTTTCAACAGATTCTTCCCTCTGTATATAAATTGAAGAATTCCAAGAATATGCGCAAAATAATCTCAAAGGAGTTCATCCGTTTATAATTAAAAATTGTCCGTGCAAAAATTTCACATCATACTCTATTTTTATCACTCCGATCTCCCGGTACCTAGACTACCACGTGTCAAAAAATGAGTGAATCCAAAATGGTGTCATATCCTCCATATTAATATTCAAATCATATTCCCAAGTATCACAAAACGATCAGTCACGTCCGCCAAACCCCCTCCGCCCCGTGCGCCCCATTCACTCCCAGTAGAGTAGAGCACTCCTCCAAAAAAATCCTCAGTATCAATATCAAAGAATCAAGCACGTGCGTAAAATAGTTTCAGTATCAAAAGGTTATACCCACAATTCGTTTTCTCTCGTCAACATTTTCCCCATGTTTATACATCGCCCGCTTCTCACGGTCGTATATATAATGTCCTGTGATGCAGGAGAGCACGTTTCCCGGTAGCTCCGGGGCTAACCGAGATACGCGCAAAGACCTAGGAGATTATTTCACGTTGACGCATGATCAGCGCTGAAGATTATCAAATATATATCTCACTCCGCAAAACTGCGAAAAAAAACAGGCGCATTTCGAAAAGGGGAGAAACACTCCTTGTGGTTTCAAATATGATTTATCCCCCCATGTACCTTAATTCCTTTCATTTTTTTCGTCAACTTTATCACGATTGCCACATTCATATAGTCCCGAATAGGAAGTAGTTTGAGGTTTTATTGGCAAATCATTGCGAAAGGTGCCCCACTAAACGAAAAGAAATTTAGAATGAACGCGTTGGCGCGAACGAGATCATTATCTCCGTACGGAAACTTGGCCCACTTGATGTATTCAATGATGCACGTATTTTTATGAAAACAAATCATTCTGAATGGCATTTACCGAAAATAATTTGACGGCATGTTGACGTGAAAAAAACCTCAAAATCGCTCAAGTCGGAGGATTTTCTTTTGAAATTATGCAAATTTATCCCTTGCAAGCGTAATGACGCTCCCCGAAATGCCCACTTTTCGCATGCACACCGAAAAGATAAACTCATGAGTCAATGTTAAGTGTGTCACGTAAATGGTAGAGGAGAGTTATGATGATGTTTATGTCGATTTTGATGGGACATGTGGATTGCTCATTTGATTTACACATTTTCTACAACTGTATAATACGAGTATGACGCTAGTGCGGACCGTTCAATCCTAGAAAATACGCTTGCGGCTAAACATGAAACGAGACAATCGGTACATATCGCCCACGAGGATCAGCGATCGCCTCCTTTTCAAGTTAATTTAATCTCTATATTACCGCCCGACCTGTTTTATTCAACTGCTGGGGCTATGGGATGGAGCATAACGTGGGGTAACTGATGGAAGGAGAGATTGTCGGATGCACCTTGTCGATTCCACGGGTTTTGAGGCATTTAAAGATCATTGTTTTGGGTCTGAAGTTATGGAATCGTCAGTTGAGGGAAATGTTGGCAATGCGGCCGCGGAGAATAAATATATCTGAATTGAGTATATTTTATAGCGGAGTCAAGTGTATGCATAATCCTGAAGAGGTTCTCATTTTATCAAGAATAAAATATTCTTTAATCAAGTATATTATTCTTGAAACGAGTGTAAAATACTTGATTCAAGTACATTGTTAAAAATTTTTGTCTGAATTCTCCGGGCCAAAATCCGAAAATTTCTATCGTGTTCAAAGTTCTACTGAAATTTCAGGAAATCGTGGCATTGAAAAATCCAATATTTCATTGATTTTCTGTTCAAATAATCTGGAAATCAATAAAATATTTGGATAGATCATCACGGTCAGAAAAAACATCGAAAATTTTGGAATCGTCGCAATCTCGAAAAACATGGGATCGGTGCAACTCGTTACGATTTTGGGAGGACTCATCTTGACTGGGTCTCGACTTTTTCGTTTTTTTCTGTTTTTATATCGCCGATATATCGTTACCATATATCGGTACGATAAAACTGAAAAAAAGAGAAAGTCGCGACCCAGGCAAAATGAGTGCTCAAAAAATCGTGAAAAGACGCACCGATCCAATGTCTTTCGGGATTGCAAGGATTCCAAAATTTTTGATGTTTTTTCAGACAGTGATGATCCTATTCTAAAACGAACATACGTCGTAGACTGTAGCGTAACGCTCATTCCTCGAATTTCATTGGTCGAACATTCGGATCCGCCCGCACGTGTTCGACTTCGGTTGGCTTTCGGTTTTTGTGTCACGATTTGTCTTTAACACGCGCGCTCCAGCGCGCGATCGTTCTCGTCTATCCAAAAAGTTTATCTTGTAGTCTCGACGGCATCACTACACTTTTATTTTATTTTATTATTTAAAGTGCACAATTTTTCATTAAATCATTTACACTGTCGTTGGACTATTGTAGTTTCAGAAATTGTTCAAATTTTGCATAATTAATATCCTGTTTACATTTAGTTTCTGTACATGGTTACTGTTGCAGTTATACTTTTATATTACACTTCTTCAAATAATTACAAATCAATTCAATATAT